GTAGATATTTTCTTTGAAATCATTTCACTTTCCCATATAAATTGATTGCACAAATATATTTAGAAATTAAGATATTATAGGACATAGAATTCATTTAAGATTGTATGCGTCTTAAATTTAAAATTAAAAATACAAAAAACAAAAAAAAAAGTGCATAAAGAAACAAGAAAAATATATAAAGTAAATAATTAAAAATATTTATTTTACACAAACAAAATGCAAAAACATACTAAAGATAAAATGTATAAATAAAATGAAATAACTAAAAATATTCTAGTAATTTTCAGCTTTCTGCATTATTGTATTCTTCGTCACTTTTTTGTCCTTTTTCGTTCATCAACTCCTCTACGCTGTCGTAAACCCGACGTCGATCACCACTAGCACTGTCGCCGGTGAGATCAAGATCTTCACCATAGCTCTACACCATTCACCGCTCTCTCACTTCATCGTCTCTGTCATTCTAGTTTTCTTTTTCTTATTTCCCTCCATCTCTGATGCCTACTCTCTTCGCGTTGCATGATCACGTTTAGTATATTTCCTTCTCTCTATGTAATTTATGGTTTAGTTTCTGTTTCAGTTAATTGCTTTGAATTTGATATAACAGTATAGGATCCCCATTGGTTTCGTTACTTTGTTCGCCTTTCCCACCCTTTCGTTTTGATATCATCTATGTTTTTTTCTTTTTCAGGCTCTTGTATCTGGATGTTCTGCAGGAGGTTTACATACTATTATACATTGTTATGAATTTCGGGAATTGTTTACTAGAAGCACAAGAATAAAATAGTAGATTCTGCAGAACTATGAGGAGAAAAATGTTGTAAACAAACTCTGCAGTGAGGCATTGGTGCTTTCTGTTTTTTTATATCCTCTCTTTATTGACACATGCTGCAATCTTTTACTTGCAGTTCATTGGGGATGTGCAAGCGATGTGGCAACCTGAGGCGATTGGCTTGCTCCACCTGCAAAGGAACCGGGTCTATTAGAGAAGGGGGATTACTTGGTATGAAGCCTGTTGAGGATTTGTTTGAAACACTTGATAACACTGAATCACTCGTAAAATGTCAAGCCAAAGGTTATTTTTCATATCCTAATTGTTCTGATCTATAATCACTGTGGTTTATCTTCTCTGCCTCCAATTATAACAATGTGAATTGTGATTATAACGCATACGCTCATTTGTTTGGTGTGTAGACGACAATGACAAATAGTGAAATGATAATGTGGGAGCAATAATGCTTTTAAAAACAGGGTTAGAAAATTTCGACAGAGTATTTTTAATAGTATGAATTTTGAGCTCTTTTTCATGTGTCAATCTATAGTTCTTTTTCTTTTTATATAATTTCTTTGACTTGTGACTCTTTAACTAACCAGTTTGTTTATGATAATATCTTGGCTAAAGAGACATTACCTTGTCAAATTAAATTTGGGCTTGTTTATGCTTGTGTGAAGTTGACAAATATGTAGGCACTTTCACTTTCTATTAGATTACCGTGTTATGTGCAATCTATTACTTGTCTTGTCAGCAAAAGCATTGTGTGTAATCATTGATCTTGTATCGGGCACCCCTCTTCCTGATTAATGTTATCATGTTTGTTCTGTTTAATCTTACAGAAAGGGATTGATGAAAATTGGGCTGCTGCATTAGAACAAAACCCCGAAGCTTTTGCTAGAGTGATATGTATGATTTTTTGGGAGTTGTATTTTCAATGATAGAAGCTTATATCAGGTCATGTTGTATGTTGATATGGAGGTTAATGATGCCCCCATTGAAGGTGAGTGATTTGTGACAATTAGTATTTTATTTTCAACTTTCGGTTCAAACTACACAAAATATAATATGTTTTCTTTTCTGCCTGTTGATTTCAATTTCACTTTTTAATTGTTATATGAAATGGGACATGCATTAATAAGATTCTCACTTTGTTTCAGGGATTTGTTGATACTGCAACAAAGTCTACCATTATATCAAAAAGTTGTGCTGAGCGTTTTGGGTATGAGAAATTTGATTGACTGAAATTTGCTTCCTATGATACCATAAAATATTGAATTTATTAGTAGCTCAACTGCTTGCCTATGAATTTAATCATACATATCTTGATAGATATGCTATTGAGGAAGTAAAGTTCATCTTAATTGCCTGTGGAGATTATACATTCTTGAATGGGATGAATATTTCCACCGATATTCATAGGTATATGTAAGCAAATCCTAAGTGAAAAATACAGTTCGGATTTATTCCCTTTGGTGAGGTTTTCTTTTTCAGCATACATAAATCAGGTAGTTTGATAGGACTGATATTAGAAAAGAATGGAAAAATAGAACTAGAATTTTATTTCTCTCTTTAATCTTTCTGAAATCATTGCCTTCAATTGTTACTTTAAGCTGCTATTCTTATAGCTGTGGATACTGTAAAGTTGATTTGAAAGAAAGTGTTTTGCGAGTTGTTGGAGAAGTTTCTGTGCCACTTTTGGAGGTTAGATTCCTAATGTTTTTATTTTAAAATTGACTACTGTTTATCCTCATACGTTTCCACAGTTATATTTTCAATTCAATCCTTCACAGATTAACTTGATGTGGCCAAACCTCATAAGTTGGCTATGGTTGGATAGGTGGTATTAAAGCTCATGTCGAGAAACATGTAAAACTTGAATGAAACCCTTTTGATTTCTATTATGATGAAAAACATGTAATTACATATTATAATTGCTTTATAATATATACTGTTGTGTGTGGTATATGAAAAAATTGGCATGTTTAGGTTAAATGGAAATTTAATTATTAATACTATTTGTTATCATCTGAAAAATAATTTAAAATAAAATAGATAAATTAATTATTTATAACAAATTAAGTAAAAAAGTAATAATTGAAAATAAGAAAATTAAATTATTTGTGACGATTCTAAACCTTTAATAAGTAATAAATGCTAATAAAATATAAAATCTTTTGTGGTGATTTTTATTTGTTAGAATATGATAAAAGATTAAAAAGAAGAGAAAAAAATAAAACAAGAGTAAATTTTGTGGTGTAGGATTTTTTTTTTCTTTTTCTAAAAATATACCAGCGGTTAAAATATTCCTATCACAACATATACAATTTTGATGATTATTTTAACAGCCAAAAAATCTATTTGCGACGGTTTTTAATTGTTAAAATTTACAATTTCATTAGTCATAATTTTTTTTAGTGTATGAAAATTGAGTCTTTATTTAGTTTCAAAAAAATTATGTTTAATTTAATTTTTCAAAATTAATTTGTAAGATTGAGTTTGCATTCATTTATATATTATAAATTCATTTTATATCTAATCGATCGATATAAGATTTCTAATACATCTTATCTTATTGAGATTTATACATTTCGAACATGAAACTAAACTGGATGGTTCAATAGTGAGTTGAATGGTAAGCCTAACAAATAACAAATCTTACTGTAATAGGTCTCTGATGGTTGTGATATCATCTTAAGAAAATGGAATTTAAACTTAACATAATTCTATAAAATTGACATGTAAAGTGAGATTTTATATATATATATTTATCTATTGTAAATTTTATTTATCTTTAGTCTATGTGAGATGTTCAACACATACTCTCATGTTGAGGCAAATTAACACTTTTTTTCATATAATTTACCTTCTAAAGAGCTCCAAAACTTTTTTTCTTTGGGCAAATTAACACTCGTTGGGAGAGCTTTTCAAAAGGGGTACTAGAAAATATGTTCCTTGAGTGAGTAAAAGAGTGGCTGAGAGAAAACGAAAATATAAAAAACTTGAGAGCAAGATGTGTGTTTAACTAGTTGGATGAGAGGATTTTCGTTCGAAATTTTTTTAAAGAATTTAGTCACAGTATTCTTGCTAAGCAAGCATGCACTTTGTTGGACAAGACAATTTTATGTTAGGACAGAGAACATTGGTAACATATTTTTGTTGGGAAGGTCACATTGTANGAAGAAGATTCCAGCGAAGAATCTTACAAAAAACATCTATGGAAGACATCTATGTAGGAGAAGTACCTTGTCGCGGAAAGCAACCGATTTAATGGATAATTTGTTTTGCTTCATAGTATGTGGTCGTGATGTTTGAAACGAAGATAAAATGCATGGTGGATGATGCATGAAAGAGCGTGAAGTGTGCGAAGCCAGTGAGGTTGTAAAGGACGCAACTCTTGCTTCTGTAACCACCATTATCGTATTATTTAGTATTTAACTGGTGTTCTAGGAATAATGATGGATGTTAATACCTTTGTTTGCACTTCTATATATATATACACGCTTCTGTCTTCTCTACTATTATTTTGTTCAAGTTTTGCATGAACTATAATTCGACCTATCTTTTCTCTAAAATATAATTACTTTTCCTTTAATATTATTCTAATTCAAAGTTTGAAAAATTATACCATATATTTAAAATATTATTTATTTTACAACATCAAACACCATCATAATTTTATCTTCAAAAAACATATCAGATAATAAAGATAAATATTTAAAGTACTTTGATCTCAATTTTTAAATGACATGAGACTAATGGGCCCAATAAAAACAAATATATTTCAAAATTAAAAATAATTCTCAATTTCAAATATTTTTAAAAAGATATATCAACTAGTTGACATACCAATATTAAATAATCATGCTTGTTGAAAAAGTGAATGACTTTTCATTAACTGTCAAGTTGTTATCTAAATACATTCATCGGAAACTGTACTTTTCATTAATTGTCTAATTGTCCTTCTCTTTAATTGTCAAGAGGAGTTTATTTGAAGAGGACGTGGGTGCACGAATCAAAATAATGCATTGACATTCGGAATGCTAATAAAGAAAAGNTATAATTTCTACCTTGAAAACTTTATGAGAACATTTATTTTATAAATAGGAAAATACACTTTCAAAATCCCGATCTTTCAATCAAATCACATATATATATTATTAAATAATTCTGTTAAAACAAATAATAACAAATCTCATTTTACAAATTGTGTGATAAACTTAAATTCACCTTCAATTTAACTTGTTTTGATTGAATGAACAAAAGGGAAATTAAAGCCAAAATAATGGTACAAACAGCTGATACAAACTTAGCTTCTAATCCTGTGACACATAATCGATAACTGATACATGAATTTCATCTCAATATTCGAGAGCTGGTGTAAAGAGTAGTGTTTGGACATAATCATCAACTGTGAATGTGTTTTGATCGTCTCCATTCTGATAAATTACCTGAGAAGTTCTAGCCATGTTAAGAGAAGCCTTTATAACTGAGAAAGGCAAAGAGGCTGTGGTCAAAGCAAGACTATTTAACTCTGGCCATAAGTTCCTGATAAATCCTCTTATTTGTTTTCTTGCAACAATTTCATCAGAAATATTATTTTCTGTCATCAAACACTGTAAGCTGCAAGCATTATCTCCTCTTTCTTGCTCCTCCTGAACATGAAACATCAAAAACTTCTCATCAGTGTCACTTTCTTGTTCTAACATATTTTTAACATCACATCAATCAAATGAAAATCAATACCCTTGAAGTTCCTAAGTCATCCCAAAGCCTAAGAATTTCCCCTGAACATGAGAAAAGTCTTGGATATGGGTTCATCATGGAAATGGTTTCCTTTGAGATACCATCCCCAATAAGAAAAGTTGCATGCACCAATGCCATGTATGATCCTGAAGAAATCACCCCATTAGCCAAATATTCCTCAAAAGTTGGCACATATTTGTTGCTGAACCATTTGGCTTCTTTCAGAAAAGCTTCAAATATGTCTATCCACTGCACCAATTCAGCAAAAATCTCTCATTAACCTCTTACTCTTACTCTTCTATACAGTTACATACATGTTTCAAATTATAAGGATATGCAAAATCTTACAGTTCTTTTCAAGCAAGAAAGAACGGTTTGTCCGTGCTCCATTTGAATTCTACATGCAATTTCTTGGATGGTGTTATACAATGCCAAATAGCTAATCTTCATGTATTCAGGCAACTGTTCCATCGCATCAAGATCCCACCTGTAAATGATAACGGAGGTTTCATATTTTGGTTATTCATTTTGCTAGCTGATTTTAATTCACAAAAATTTTAGATGCAAACCTTTTGATTGCCTCGGTAAAAAGAACGAGTTCGTCTAATGTGCCGTAAGTGTCGAAAATATCATCCATAACTAGCAAAATACAAATGGTTTTTGCAAGTTCAATGCGACAATTTGAATAACATGGTTCTGGAAACACCCCCACTGTCCATAGAAAGCACTCTGCTGGTTTATCTCTCGCAAAACCAAGCCTTTCAACAAGTCCCAAGTCCTTCCACCACCTAATCAAGTAAAAGTAAAAATCATATACCGATGTTGTTCGTGTTTTAAATTTATTTCTAATATATCTTAAACATCAAAATCAATGTATTTTAAAAGTACAATATAGAAAAAAATCCTAATTCAGCACAAGATTACCTAGAGATATCTGCTAATTCTTTTTGGTGCATTGACTGAACCATGGCATTGTCTATCTTTGCCATTTCCAGAAGATATGGCATCTTGCTGCTCACTTGGCTATATTCTTCAATGTAGTTTCTGGCTTCCAAACTACTCATTCTTAGGTGTCTCGGAAGTGTTAAGGCTCTGACAACATGATTCCCTACATCAGGACTTAGAAGTGGAAGTGATTGCTGCAGATGAGCACTGGAGAAGTCCATGGCCTGTTGCAACACTTCTTCCCCTTTTGCACCCAAATATGATGCCTCATACATACTTAACATTCCCCAAATGTCAGTGGTAATTGATTCCTTGAAGTTCCCTCTGTGGTCCAAAAATTTCTTGAAAACATCTGTTATCAATGCAATGAATTAATCAAACTAGCATGTGTGTAACAACATATTCAGAAACTAACTTTGCAAAGACTGAATATGAATGTACCAGAAGAAGCATGGCAGCCATTATGTCTGAGTAGTCGAAATTGAAGAGCAGTGGAACAGAGGTCTTGAGAAAAATCGCAATCCGCTACCTTTCCAAGTTTTACATTGATCTCTTCTTCAAAATGGTGGCCAATTCCTAACCTTTGAATGTTGTCAATTATCTTCAATGTTTTGGTTGGATCACTTGAGTTTAATAGTGTCTCTTGGCTGCTTCTTTTAACTTGCTCCAGTTTCTTTTTCCCAGGATCAATTTGAATAGGCACCTTCAACCACCAACATGACAAAACCCATTAAAGAGAAGATTGTCAACATTTTTTAAGTTTCTCATCACTCTTGCATTCTCTCATCACATATTAATACTGTCAAACAAGAATATTCATACAAATCTAAAGAACATAAATAAATATTTTCATATATTATTGGTGTAATGATTTTTGTATTCATAATTAATTAGAAACCACTATAAGTAATTACATTTTTTTTTTAAATTTCATTTTTAATATTCGTAATGGAAAGTAATTAAATAATATGTTTGGTATAGAACTCAATCAGACTAAAATAACAAAAACATTATATATATAAAACTAAAATTATAATTTTAGTTCAAAACCATCTTTCTAGAGACTTGCCTTCTTTGTACCTCTTTTTTTAGGTATTATATATGGTTCACATGTTATTTTAGTTAATTTTTAGTTTTTTTTTAATATTTCAAAGTTGTTTCAACTAATTATTCGTGTGTACCAAACAAGTTTTTTTTTATTAACATACAATAATAATTTTTAAACGAGACTTTTAGTAGCTTTTTTAAATGCTATATGTATATTTGTAAGATTATAATAGACAAATAATGTAAATGAGATCTGAAAGGTTTTATATAAAGTTTGGAATATGGTTGCAGTTCGATTTAATTAGTTTTTTTCACTAAAGAGAGATCTGAATCCAATGTAAAAATTAGTTTAACTTAATATAATATTTGAATTAAATCAAACCAATATTTCAAATTTTCTTTTGAATGGATTTTTACGTTTTTTGTTATTATAAAATTATAAAATACTTTTTACAGAAAAAAGGTGATAAACATTTCTATAATTAAAACTCGTAAAATAAAAAGT